AGTAAACTTGCTCAAGAAACTTTTTATTTAAATGCCTTCGTAAAATGTTTTTCTGAAGAAACAGAGCACCCAGGCTTTGCAAGGGCAAGGTCTCCAGCCTAAGACAAGGCAGAGCAGTCACGGATGCTCTGCACCGTGGTTGGCCCTGTTGTCACTAGAGAACACAACTGTCAGCACTGTATCTGTAACTGAACTGATGAGGGCTGTCCCTCTGGCCTTTTTTCAAAGGAATCCTAAACTTCAGGCCTCCCAAGCTGCTCAGGATGCAACATATCCACACCTCTGCAAGCAGATAGGTCAATATATTTCTAACCATTTGGTTTGCCTTAAACAGAGCATTAGCAGTTTGTCTTGCTGTGTTTCTACAACACGAGATGATGAAGTAAACAGCTTGTCTAGAGAGGCTGGAATTTCCATTGCTGTCTAACCCATCCTAATATTGACAAACATGTGGCAGGAATGAGTTAGGGAACCTTATTTCTGCTTGAGGCAGGGTGGCAAGCTTAAAGACATCCTGAGATATCTTCTAGTCCCATCCAGACTGATGACGATTTGCTGCCTAAATTAAATTGTGCTGGGATCACACGTTAGAAACACATTGACAGGGCTCTGCCATGCAGCTGATGATGAGACTGCCTCTTGAATCCTTTCTACATGACATAATTTGTGTTTTTCATAATCATTCAGGCATTTTACCTCCCTTAAAGAATCCACATCTTATAGATAGGAAAGCATTTTCAATATCCCTTACCCTAGGTGAGGAGAAGGCTGTATGAGACCTTAAAGTAGCTCTCAAGTCACAGCCTTAGTGTCCCTCCTTGCTGTGGACTGCAAAGCAGTGCCATGGTACACAGTGGCTTTGAGGTCAGTTATTGCATAGAAAATAAATCCTATCACACTGGGTGACAGCTGCCCAGATAAACTCCCCTGAACCCAGTGCCACTGTGCCCCATGGCTCTGCTCCCCTGAGCCCAGTGCCACTGTGCCCCATGGCTCTGCTCCCCTCACCCCATTGTGTCACTGTGCCCCATGGCTCTGCTCCCCTCACCCCATTGTGTCACTGTGCCCCATGG